TACATTCTGGAAACAGTGTCAGCATACGCCCCAGATGGTAGTCAACTCAACAGAAATGGAATATTCAGTCGAGTGTTTTGGGCTTTTCACCCTTGCATCACAGGGTTTGTGTCATGCAAACCAACTATACAAATTGATGGAACTTGGTTGTATGGGAAATACAAAGGCACGCTACTGATGGCAGTTGCACAAGATGGCAACAATAACATTTTCCCAATTGCATTTTCCCTAGTCGAGGGGGAGACTGGTGGTGCTTGGATATTTTTTCTCAAAAATCTGCGAACACATGTGGCTCCTCAACCATATCTCTGTTTGATCTCGGATAGACATGCATCCATTGAAAATGCATACAATAATCCTGCAAACGGTTGGCATGACCCTCCTTCTACACATGTCTATTGCGTTAGACATATCGTCCAAAATTTCACGAGGGAGATCAAAGACAAAACACTTAGGAAAGAGGTTATGAATGCGGGGTATGCATTTACACAACCTACATTCAAATATTACCGCAACGATATCCTTTTGTCAAATCCGGAAGTCGGTAAGTGGATCGACAATATTCCGGTAGAAAAATGGACTAGGTCATACGACAATGGCCAAAGATGGGGACACATGACAACAAATCTAATTGAATCGATGAATGGGGTATTCAAAGGCATACGAAACCTCCCGGTCACTGCTTTGGTAAAATGAACATATTTTAGGATGGCTTCGTTGTTTTCCAAGAGGCGTGAAATATGGAATGCGGTGTTGCAATTTGGACAACTATGGAGTGAAAGCTGCATGAAGTACATTAAGGCAGAAAGTGCCAAAGCCAACACCCATATGGTTATACGATTTGACTGACAGAGCCATAACTTCATTGTCAAAGAGACAATCGACCACAACGAGGGCCTGCCAAGACAAGAATTAGGGTTGTACTACCTTCTCGTTGGTGCGATTGTGGCAAGTTTCAAGCCTTTCGTATGCCTTACTCTCATGACATTGCCGCATGTTCCTATACTCATCAAGACGCGCTACAACTTCTGTCACACATTTACAAATCTGAAATGTTGCTCAACATTTACAACAACAGCTTCCCTTTGGTAGCAAAACCAGATTATTGGCCTGCATACGACGGCGAAATAGTATGGCACAATGACCAAATGCGAAGGAATAAAAAGGGTCGTCCCAAAAGTAAGCGCATCACAGCCGAAATGGACTCTCTTGACAAGTTGGAAAGAAAGTGTGGTTTATGTCGTCAGGTCAGACACAATCGCAAAATCTGTCTGAATCGGGCTACTGCCTCAACCACATAAAAATTGTATTACATAAAATCTTTCCTTTATTATGTTGTAAACATTAGGGTTTTTCGTTAACAGTATTTGTTACAATAAATATTGCACGAATAAGAAAAAAACACGATAATCCTTCTACGAAATTACAACTGTTAAAACAATATCATCTGACCCATGCATCATCAACATTACGTCGCTGTCTGTTTTGACTTCCTCCAACAAAACATTAGGTCTTCCTGTCGCAAGTGAGGTTGTTGTTCGTCTTTGCTAGATCCTTCTAATTTTTTTCCCTCCACGATGTCTCCATCTAGCCATCGCATCAACTCCTGTTTCAGACGCTCCATGGAGTGAATGTGCCAGAGTTTCATTTTCATCAGAGGTTTTGTGGCCGAGAAGATAACGTAACCATCTCTGGTAAAAATCATGGGCGATGTCATGATGCAAATAACAGAGTAAAAAATAAGAAAACAGTGTGAGAAAGTGTGAGAAATGACGGAGAAACGGATGAATTATTTATAAAAAACAGCATTTTGCCCTAGGAGCCAAGTGAGATGGCGCCTCCTCTCACTTTTAAAGTGCATGCGCCATCTCACTTGGCTAAAATAGAGAGGAGGCACCAAGTGAGATGGCGCCTAGGGCATATTGCTTAGTGGAGGCGCCAAGTGAGATGGCTCCTCCTTTGGGGAGTCATCTGAAACATGGTTATTTGCGATTTTTTTTTAAAACATGGTTATTCCAAAAAAAAATTGAAAATATGGCTTAAAGTTGTGAAAAAACATGAAGTTTTCAATACTTAGAAAAATTTCTAAGTTTGGAAACTTTGACTTTTCAAAATGAAATCTTGACTTTTTGATTTCTTGATGAACAAGTTTCATATTTTGACATGTTTTGGTGAATTGTGATCTTTGACACTTGATTTTGACTAAAAAGTCAAAGTTTGACTTTTCACTGTATAAGTTAACTTTTGATTAGTTGACTGAAAATCAACTATCAATAAATTGATCTTGAGGGAAGTTTTGGGTCATACCATTAGGTCAAAATGATGCATTTGAAACGTTGAGATCATGTCTCAAACCAACTAACCATTTGCTAGGTCAAAAATCAGAAATTGCCTTTTCTCAGTCAAAACCCTAATTTTGACCATTTTGCCCTTTTGATGATCTGATCAATTTTTTTGAGGAATTATGGTCCAAACTGGATAAAATAACATATATGAGTTCACAATGTTGATATTGATTAAAAATTATGAAGTATTACTGTAAATTGACCACATTTGACTTTTTTCCCAATACAACTGATTTTTAGGTCAACTGCTCAATTGACTGAGCAAAAATGTGATCCAAGACTTAAAACTTGACATGGGAAATCTTGGGGGTCCATAATGATCTATAAAAGTCATATGTGGCATTAAAATTTCAATTACCCTTGTGCAATCTCAAACCCTAATTTCAGTCATCAATGCTTAAGGAGGTGTCTTGAGTTGATCAAACCCTTGTGCAGTCTTGAACAAAAGGAGATTTTTGTGAGAAAATACTTGATAAATGATAGGGAAAATTTTGGGGTACAACAAAACAACATTCGTTTGAAAATAAATTAAACCCCAAAGCAGCTCACCAGCAAAGCTACAAGCTTGATTAAAACAGACAGGTCCAATACAACCCTGTCACGAATAGTCCATTCTCCACTTCAAGGGATCATTCAAAAAAATATGAAATATCCAAGTTCAAACAACTTTTCAGTAGAAACCTTCTACCTTTCTCATAAACCAGAAAGTATCCCCCTCGGATCTCATCTAGAAACAGATAAAATGCCTGCTCTGATACCAATTGAAATTCTGGTATGACAGAACTCATATGTCATATGACATGTTGAGACATCTGATATGACTTAAATATTACGGAAGGGAATAAACAATTTAAAACCGGTACTGAAAAGCATAAGCAACACACATAAATTGTTAACCGAGTTTGGAACAACCTTCATATTCTGGGAGCTACCAAGCCAGGGATAAGTCCATTAAAATAGTATCAATTCATAGACCCTACAGCAAACATCCAGTTTACGTCCTAATCACTTATCACTACCCTTTCTAGACTTCTATCTAATACTCGCTTAGATATGAGGCCCTACCTAATCCCTCATAAATCAAAAACAACGACTGGACAAACAGAAAGACACACTTCCATGATAGAAAACTAGAAGACTCACTTCCAAGACAATACCTAGCCAACACTCTTGACTATGAACAATACTTAGATTTTCTTACAAGCTTCCTTTAAGAACAATACTCAACTCATTTTTTCACAAATTTTGAGTGAGAACAATACCAACTCTCCTAGAGAGCGGCACAAAGACAAAGCCCTAAACTTCTAAATCTTGGACCCATTCTTTTTCTGGGTTACAAAGGCTTCTATCTATAACTTTTACCCAACTGGATTTGGGCCTTTAATCACAGCTCATCAGCTGTTACAAATCAGCAGTAACTTCTACTACAAATAAGGTCTTCAATCATTAGTGTCCTAAAATATCTCCATATTTTGAAACTGCGTAATCTTTAATATTATGACTTGATTTTTCTTGACCTTTAAATCAGTGCCACATAGGATTGCATAATCTTCCCAGAATATTCTGCATCTGTTAAATCATAACAGAATCCACTAATCCAACTCAGCTCAGGAGCGATGTCGTATGACCCTATATAGGACATCTTATCGGATATGTTTCTCCAGATGTTGAAACACTTCAACTCAACATGTCCCAACATAAAATAGACTTCTTGCTTAACCTGTTCTTCTTAGCAAGTAAATACATCTTATCACATATTTTTTCTATATTTGTTTTACAAAAATTAATGACAATCCTTAAAACTAAGGAACTTACAATGTGTAAGAGCCGAGATTGGTCAGAATTAGTGATACATGCTAGTTGGTTTTTTTCATTAGGTAACTCACTAACTAGGTGACTCATACTTTCATCTAAGACAGATACTCTAGGGATAGTTTCTTGTTGAGAAAAGTCCTTATCTGATAAATGTTATGAGAATTCTGATTCTGAGGCTTGCTTGGGAGAGGGCATGACAAGACCTATAGATAGGTTCTGGTCAAGTATAGGTGAGGGTGCGTGTTCTGATGATTGTGTAGGAGATTGAGGTGGTGTTGGAGTTGTAATTTGGTCAATAGAGGTGAAATGGAAAATTTTTAAAAATTATCAGAGACAAAATTCAGAGGATTACATGTGTGAATAGTCTCTACAACATCTGAAGCAACTTGACCTTCTTCAACAAAAGTTTCAAGAGAATGAGTAATAACTTTATCAGGCACATGAGAAGCTTCAACTTCCTAAACACCCTTAGCTTCCTTCAACACAACTTCTGCTTCAGCTTAAACTTCCACTTGCTTTAGCAATGAAAGGTTGTTACATAGCCTGATTAATTAATGCAGATGATATCAGTCTAACTTCTACATGAATATCCTCTGCACAAAGGTTTTGAGCTTTTTTTTGAAAAACCTTGGTCCTCTGGACCAGAGGTTGTTCATCATCATCTTCTTCTTCTTCTTCTAACAACATCATTTTCCTTAGCTTCTTCTTCTTTTTCACAGACACAACCAAATCAAAAGAGGTTGTCTTCTGAGGATTTTTGCCAATGGCTCCACTTCTTGTCTTGGTAGGCATCAAGACAGTTGTGGAGGCCACTTCTTGAACCACCTTCTGAATTTCCTTCTAGTGTACAATCTTCTTCTTAGGTGGCTTATGAACCTCTTTCATAGTTTTAGAAGCATTCTGCTTCCTTTTTCTTGGAGGCTTGTACGCACTTCCTTCAGGGGCTCCAGGAATGTCATTTATGGTTATAATGACTCCAGCTTCTTCCTTGGCCATGTTGATATACTCTTGAATAACTTCAGGATTTTCCAACTTGGAGTTATAGGGTAAATCATCAATGAAGGCAGTTTTGAAAATTCTAATTCTTAGCCCAACTGCAGGTTGCATCACATCTTTCTTCGGAATTATCTTCATATTCTTTAGTACAACAGTTGAAAGAATATTTCCATATGTTTCTTTCAAATATTATGTAGTACCAAAAGCCATCAAAGTCTCAATGAGCCCACTCTAATGAAACAACTCATAAAGAAGCCTTGCATAAAGAACATTATTCTTGTGATTCTTGTTGATCTCTTTTATAACTTCACACAAGTGATTGAAGATGTATGCAGTTAGGTTTATTTTCTCCATATTGATTTAAAACCAAATAAAATGGTTGTGATACCAAGAGATTTGATCACTACTCCCATCTCTTGGAATCAAACAACCAATCAAAATGCTGGACAGAAACCTATACTCAATATTCAAGTTTTTCACTTTACCAAAATCATCAGAGTTGAGGAACATAAGTTTCTTGATCACACTTGATTCTTTGCTGTTGTATTTTGTGTTTAGAGCACATCTTCCCTTGTTATCCATACCTAGAAGTTTGGCAATGTGACAATGAGTGATGGTCACATCAATTCCCATCATAACATATAAGATTCCCACCTATTTGAACTCATCCAATCCCATTCCAACCATAAATTTCCCTTTAAAATCTTCATTCCCAACAATCTTTTGGCATTCTTCAAGCGCAACATCACCTTCATCATAAACCTTAACCCTAACCCAAAAATTTTTAACCAAGTAAGAGTAGGTTGGACCATTTAGAATATCAAATAAGCTCATCCACCCTTGATGTTCAAAATGTTCTTTTATAGAATACCCATTAACCCTAAAAAGATTCAAAATCAATAATCTACTCCATAATCAGCTTTAGACCCCCCTTCTGATCTTCATAGTTCTGGGTTTGAGATGAAGACTCTTTCCAGTTTCAACAATAATAGAAGCTTGATGAGAATATGATGACAAAGTCGTTGCAATGGAGTTTAGGGTTTATAAAAGGGTGTTTTAAAATATGCGTTATTTTTCGGAGAGGGCTTGAGAACTAAGGTGTGGGTAGCAAAGTGAGAGAAATGTGTGAGTTTGATCTATTAAGTGTTTAAAGTGAAAAATAATTTTTTATTCAAACAAAACTTAATACCCAAGGAGGCGAGAAACACATAATTCAAGACAACTCATCGTTATCTAAAGGTTTTTACCCAACAGTTAACAACCACGTGTCAGAAGAAGTTTCAGATTCGAGACACATGAGTGGACAAATGTCAGAAAAAACTATTGAATAGTTTTTCCACTTATATGCTACTAGAGGAAACTAATCATATTATGAGCAACATAGGATGAGATGCTTCAGATTTTAATATTAATCAGATGCTAGTTTAGAGCTTCTGATCACAATAGCTCCTGATCATCATCAAACTTTGATCCTCCATTTAGAAGCAAACACAGTTCTAAAAAATGTTTAGATTCTTTTTAATAAAATCAATTCCTTTAAAAATAAGAGGCTTGATAAATATATCAGTCCATCAAGGAACTTCATATCTGTCACACCCATCTGAATAAAATCTTTATTAAAATGATGTTTAATTTCTATGTGTAGATAACAACAAAATTAACATAGGATATTGAAGTACTACTTCCACATATCTGATAATCTTCTAACTGGTATTATAAAATACCAGGTCTAGAAGTTGTTAAATAAAACAAGGAAATTATCATACCTTTGTGCAGCTTCTTGAGAAACTTTGGTGTTGCTTCCTCTTTGCTCATCTAGCTTGTTTCTTAAAACCAGTTTTGTTCCAACAATGTTCTTTTGATGGAGTTTGGGTAATAGATCCAAAACATCATTCCTTTGAAACAGATTCAACTCTTTTGGATGTGAGTACTTGTACTTGAAAATTATTATTGGAATGTGTTGCTTTTTGAAAACCATAATGAGTTCCTTTATCTGAATGAACTTCAGAGGTTGGATAAATTTTAAAGTAGTAGCTTCTGATCATCCACTTCAGTAGTACCAGTACCAATAATATTTCCTTTCTGGTTTCCTCCAAATCCCATAGTTCCTCCCTATTTCAGAATTAGGATTTCGAACATATGATTCTCTTATGTCATATGTTGTGAGCAGCCAGTGTCTAGTACGAAGACTACTGCTTTGATCCTCCCCTTACACATATCAATAGCAAAAATAATTTTAGATTTAGGTATCCATAATCTTATGGATCCTTTAGGGTTAGTTCTAAAAGGCTTCTTCTGACTCTGTACCCTATCCTTCATGTAGTAAAGGTTGTAATCATTCAAGAATTTTTTTTTTAAAGTTTCATGTCTTGAATAGTTCTTAGCCTTTGATTATGAACCCTTTAGAACCTTAGACTCTGATGTTGTAGGTTTTGGCCTCTTCAAAAATTTAGACTTAAGAATCATTGGTTATGGTTTCTTCAGAACCTTAGACTTTGAGGTCTTTGGTTCTGATTTCTTTAGAACTTTTGATTCTACAGTCTTTGGTTATGATTGGTTCAAAACCTCTTCTTTGTCAGCAGTTGATACAAAGTGAAAATAATGTCCTTTCATAGAGGAACTTGGTTCTACAAGTTTAATAAAGGTTCCCGACCTTATATTAACATGTTTTTCAGAATAACCAAGACCTTTTCCTCTGCTCCTACTTATACTATAAATCATGGATGCAATTTTTGTCATGTTAAAGCCAGAAATGACAAACTCCTGAAGAGCCATTTCATACTCACTAAGGGGTTTATCAAACATATCATTTATTAAATCATTACGATCTATTAATTCTTTAATGTTATTTTTAGAAAACTCTAATTCATCTTTCATGAGATCATAGTGCTTTTTCATAATTTTCATTTGTCTGGTGTTGTAACCAGTTTTAAAATAAGAGCCGCTACCCTTAATTTTTATCCTACGGGAGGGAATATCAAGGTTAACCCTAAATAAATCAGAGGTTCTAAGTTATTGTACTTGTTTTTAGACGAAGGGAAGGTGTTAGGCACCCCTCATCTACCTTGTTCACAATGATACCAGGGTTTAGAAATTCAATCTTTAGGAAATAGGGCTTTAATTTTTTATTAGGGAAACTCGCCACGATTTTAGTCGTATGTCTATGTATCCTCTTAAGAGGAATCAGAGTCCTAATTTATAGTTCATAGTTGGTTGGTGTTTTTTATGGATTACGAAGATATTTAAATTGCCCTTGTAGTTAGTCTAGGTGTGTGAATAGCGAAGTTTTTAGATGAAGTGCGCAGTCAATTGAAATATATTTGTAATCCTTTTTGAAAATTAATTGTTGAGTTAATTTGATTTAATAAAAAGAGTTTAGTGTTGGTTAAATATTTTTTAATATATTAATTATAAAAATATCTTATTAATGCATGATGAAAAATGATTTTAATGCAATAAAATAAATATTTAAATGAGTTGAAAAATAATATTTGATTTATTATAATAATAGTAAATAATATTAAAATATATAAATATATTAAAATATATAATATAAAAATAATAATTATTAATAAAATAATAAAAGAAATTAAGAAAAATGCAGAGGGGGTGTAAATTATGTTGGGCTAGCAAAACAAGGGGTATAGGTAGTAGGGCCCTCAATTCAAATGTTGAATTCAGGCCCAACGCAGGGGGCTTTGAATCCTAACGTGATAACAAATCTGGGGTGTGTAGAGAGTAAGGGTCCAAGTCCAGATATTGGACTTGGCCCATTAGGCTGAGGGGGTGTGAGTTCTTTACACAGTTAGCAAAACAAAACAAAGGGGGGGTGCGGGTATCATGGGCCTGGCCCAAAGTTTTTGAGGAGTCCGTTTGGACTCCATGTGGACGAGCGTATGGTAATTCAGTAGGTGTGCGTTTCTGTAACGCATGATGGGGATCATACGGTTATGATGGAGGGTGTATGGTGATGACCATTGACTTACATGTACGGGATTGTTGAACACATTATATTAGTTTTACAAAAATATTTCATCATGTTCATTCTCTCTTTGATCTATCCTTGTATTCTCTCTTCTACCCACAACAACCCTAACACAGAAAACCCTAAATCACTACCGCTCCTTGCAAACCTAATCGGCAGCGATCGTCTCTTACCCCCAAATGTAACCTTATCCCAAAACCCAAATCGCGAAAATAAAACAGAAATAAAAAAACAAGACCTAAGTCGTTACCTCTGATCATGATTTTCCTTCGAGCCTCCTTTTTGTAACTCTCTTTCTGATCTCCTTTTCTCTGGGTGTTTGACATGTACTCGACGGTGGTGTTGGAGGCAGTAGTGGTGCGATGGAGAAAAGCTAGGGTTTCAGATGTTGAAACCCTAAGTTTTACACATAGAGGAGACCAACAAGGGTTTACGTTGGCGGCGTTGAGTCTCCTTCTTCTCTGTTCTTTCCCTCTATTATTTTTCTTTTTCTCCTCCCCTTTTCCCTTTAGAAATCTAGGTCTTTTATAGTGTTTTAATTTAGATGTTTTAGGAAGTTTTTTGTGTGATTGTCGTTACTTAGAGATTGATAGTAGAATTAGGGATTTTAGAGATTAGTTCTTATTTGTTTGTAATTCGGTTACAAATTTGTATAACAAGTTTGATTATGATTTGATTATGTTAAGACTTGATTTTATTTTGTATTAAGTTGTAAAGTTTGTTTTAGTTAACATTTGACTGTGTTTGTAAATTCGGACAATTCAATGTAAAAGATCTAATTCTGTTTTTAATCTGAACAATATACGTTTCTAGTTTTAATCATGTGTTTTCCTTTCTTAATCTATACAGCGTGTGTTCTTTGATTTGAAACAAAGCGTTTTTTTTTCTTCTGATTTGGACAGTGTGTGTTTGGCTTTGGGCTTGGGCCTTGAAAGGGCTGGACCGGACACTTTGAAAGTCCAATTTTGACTCAACATTTTTTTCAATTAATAAAACGAACATAATTTTTAATTAAGTTCTAAATAGTAACGTTAATAATAATAATAATATAATTAAATAATTATGTAAAACAAATACAATTTCTTAAAACAAAAAACCTGAAATGGGCCAAAACGTTTAATTGTTTGGGCCTTCCTGAAAAAATATACACCTTTCTTATTTAAAACATGTCTCATCACTTTAGTGGGCCGGTCCAATCAATAAAAAACCCCTCATGTAATCAGCACACCTCCCCCCTTATATTATTTCATAAATGGGCTGAAACCAATAGCTTTGACCCAAAAATGAAACAGACTTAGAAAATTTAATGTTAATCCCCTTATTTTACATGGGCCTTTTCTGATTTAAAAAGGTCCATTACTTTTTAATAAGGTGAAACCCCTTTTTATAAAATTAAACCTCATATATATATATATATATATATATATATATATATATATATATATATATATATATATATATATATATATATATATATATATATATATATATATATATATATATATATATATATATATATATATATATATATATATATATATATATATATATATATATATATATATATATATATATATATATATATATATATATATATGAATTTTGATAACAATTTATAAAACAGATGATAATTCTGGGAATTAACAAGGGATACAAGATTAGAATTTAGTAGGGAAAATTTGGAGTATGACATATGGATTTATCTTGAAAATGACCCTTAAGGTCTTGAAAGAAAGTAATTAAACCAGAGCGAGATAGTTTAGAAAATACATCATGTTCTTATTTGGAATCTGAACTAGAACCTGAGTTGAATTATGTGTCTGAATATGTTGAAGCCTTCATAGTTAGA